ATTTTTTGTGTAAAGTTGTGATGGTCTTTGTGCAAGGTTGTGGTTTTTGTAGTCTTTGTGATAGTTTTTATTATCAGGCATTTATGCATGAGAACCCTCTCTTCATAGCCTTCCCTGGGTAGATCAATTTGTCAGGATTTTTTTTTTTTAACACAAGAGACTCCATTTTGATTCTGACAACTTTCACATAATAATGAGTTCACTTTTTCATACAGAGTCCAAGAATATAAAAGTATCACTTTTTCCTGAGCAAAAAGATGGTAAACCAGTTATCTCAGACCATATTCATTTTAGGGAAAAATTTCTACCGCAGAATCAGTGGTTTACGCAACTGCTAGTTATAGAACTTCATAGTTTTAAAAAGTCTTACAGAGCATTATATGGTAAAGTGGCCATAAAGTAGAAAAACTTCTATTAATTCAAGCATATGCATGTGACTTTGCAAGTATTTCAAAGCACTCGCTTGTGTAACTGTCCCTCAAAAGAATAAGCTGTATTCACATGTCTCTTTCTTTAGGTCTGTTTCTTAATCTCTGCCTGTTACACTCAGGTTTCTGTGCCTGTTTACTCTTGACACCCTGAAAACTCTGAAAAATATTGTAAATAGATGCCTAATGGCCAAATCTAGTGCATTTTTTTTTGTAGTTTTTAGTTTCCATCACCTCATCTCAGAATTTAATGTAGTTGAACTTACTTTCTGAAAGTCTCCCTTGTGCTTTATAATGCCATGCTCACCTGATTGTCCTCTTACATCTCTGACCGTAACTTCTTAGTATGTTTCATCTTTCCTCTTTCCATTACCTGCCCCTTAATGTTGGGGATCTGCAGGGTTCTATCTTTGGCTCTCTTCTCTTTTCATTCTGCAAACTATCCACGGGGTGATCTCATCCTCCTTATGAGCAGATGTAATAGTAATATGAGTCCCAAATTTTATCTCCCTCCCTGACCTCTCTCCATCGTCTCTGACAGGTATTTACCTCCAGTTACCAACAGAACATTTCCATCTGGCCATCTCAGAGACACTTAAAATCATTATGCCCCAAACTGAATTTAATCTTTTTTTTTTCCTTCGACCTATTCCTCCTCCTCGACTCTGATCTTGGTGACTGGTTCCCCTATCCACAATTCGCAACCTGGAAAGCTGGAAGTTATTTTGGCTTCTGTTCTTTTCTTAGCCAAATGCCCTCCAAATATCCAATTAGTGTCCAAATCCTTTTGATTCGATTTCTTGAACATTTTTTGGCCTCATCTGTGCATCCCCCTTACTCCCAGCAACTCACACCTTGACTAATGCAGTGGTATCCTAACTGGTCTCCCCGCCTTCACTTAGTCAATTAAGTTGTTTTATTTCCCTGATAGAACTTCTCTGGTGGCTTTTCATTGACTATGTGCTAAAATCCAACTTTACTGTATGGCCCTCACTCCTAATGATCTGGCTTTAGCCATCTTTGTGTCTTCTTTCTTTCCACACTTCATTTCCTGGTCACATGATTTCATATTGCTGTGAAGCTTCTCCTCACTGGCTGACTACAAAGCCTTTCACTATCCCCTGTGCAAAGGTAGACTCGCTCAGTCCTGTGCCTTCATTCATACCCATGCATGGTTTGAATCATGGCTCCCATCACCCTTTATTGAACTTACTTGTTTATATGCACTATTCACCCTGTTTCTCTGGCATCTCATAGTATTTAAAAGTATTTTTGCATAAATATCAGTATCAGCAGATATTTATCAAACAAATACTTCCTCAAGGAACTGGGAAACAGGAACAACCTCCATTTTTTTGGTAGTGCCTCAAACTGTTCATTCTCTAGCATGTAATAAGCATTGTCTGACTGAGAATAGAGTCAGTCTATGAATATGTATCTATCAATGTATGACTGGTTGCATACATTGATGGTTCCCAGTTTCAATGTTCTTTGAAAAGACAATGTAATTGTGCCTTACTTTAATTAAGTTGATCTGATATCCAGAATCATAAAATAGTCACTATCATTGTTATCATTACCATCATCATCATCATCTCCATTTTGTATGTAGTGTGGAAAATGCTGTGGTGGCCTCCAAGTACACAATAAGGCAGCTATTCCAGAGGTCCTGGAACTAAAAGGTTCATAGACTAGATTAAGGTGCTCAAATCAGTTAATTTGTTAAATCAATTTAAAACAGACAGTGAGATGCAGGGGGAAAGATATTGGGTAGGTGACAAGCAGGTGGAAAGAACACACTACTTGTGAATCACTTAAAGTTCATATGACTCTCTCTTTCCCTCATCTGCCTTCCCTGAAGATGGCGTGATTACAGGGATCAGAGTTGAGGGTAGGCAGGAAAGTTCAGAGGTGGAGGTTTATGGTGCCAGTGCACACTTGCTCCATTAGAAAGATAGAGGTAAGGATGTATGGCCACAGCTATAGCTCAAGGATGACTTCATGACCAGCAGTATATGTTTTAAACACAGGAAAATTGGGTTAGAATGGGTGATACCAATGGGTCTCCAACTTGAGGTAGACAAAGCTGATCCATGCTTTACGAATATTTAAGGTTTATTTTGCTTCTCTTCGCTATCTACAGGTAACACTCTAATTTGTTTGTTTTGTTCTTTCAATGTATGTTTTGTTTTTTTTTGAGACAGAGTCTCACTGTGTTGCCGGGGCCAGAGTGCCATGGCGTCATCCTAGCTCACAGCAACCTCAAATTCCTGGGCTCAAGCGATCCTCCTGCCTCAGCCTCCCGAGTAGCTGGGACTACAGGCATGCGCCACCATGCCCGGCTAATTTTTTCTATATATTTTTAGTTGTCCAATTAATTTCTTTCTAATTTTAGTAGAGACGGGGTCTCGCTCTTGCTCAGGCTGGTTTCGAACTCCTGAGCTCAAACAATCCACCCGCCTCGGCCTCCCAGAGTGCTAGGATTACAGGCGTGAGCCACCGCGCCCAGCCTCAGGCAATGGAATTTTTAAAAGATAATGTGCTTTCATTAATGCAATAGGTTTCTGATAGATTTTCATATTGTTAAAATAAGTGATTCTGAGGGTGGGACTGTTAGCTGTATATCAGAATGGGAGAAAACTTTTTCTAATTCACATTCTCCTTCCCTGCCCCCAATTGCTGCTTATAATGAAAGATGTTACTGAGAGGAGGGAGTTATTATTGTAAATGATTTGAAGGTGGTAAAGTGGCTGAACGCCATTGGCTTAGATGAAAGATGTGGAACCAGGGCTCCCCAGTGAGCTATGTTAGTAGTTGGTTGAGACATGATCTGGTGATCCAAGCCAAAAAGCATACTTTTTTGTATGATTATCTAATTTGTTTCCTCTTTGGGGCCATGGAGACTTAGCCAGACTTAATCCTTTGTTTCTATACTCTGGGGCAGTTCACTTTATAAATTTTGTATTCCTGCTAAACTATACAGATTATATTCCCATTTGGCTGCTTGGTCACTAAATCTCCTTAACCTTCTGAAACCCATCCATTTCTCTGTTGTCTTACAATTTTTTCCCTTCCTTTTATTGCTAATTTTTGAGTAACAACTCAGCAATTTAAAAGTAAAGCTGGGCAGACTCATTAGCCAGTGTAAGTATTGGCGGCAGTTAGGAAGTTGCATTCAGAATTATCTGGAGATTTAATTCCCTACAGTAATAGCAACAACCTAAGAGAAAGCTATTCTCTAGGGAGGAAGGAAGGAAGCAAACTGATGTGACTTGAAGTTGGTGGTAATGAGTATTTGCTGGTTCTAGGCAGTGCCATCCTACTTTCTGTGGCCTCTTATTTACTTTTTTTTTTTTTTTTTTGAGACAGAGTCTCACTTTGTTGCCCTGGCTAGAGTGAGTGCCGTGGC